GCCCTTGCCCACAGCCCAAGCCCATCAGGCTGAGGCTCTTGATGCATAGCTGGGAAGCTGAGGCTCACAGAGAAGTGACCAGTGCCCAGACAGCTGATGACTGAGTGCAGAGCTGGGTGGAGGAGCTGAGATGCTGGACTCCAGGGCTGTCTCCCCCTACCCACCATCTTGGCTCTTCCAAAAGCCTGGGAAACAAAAGGGCATCCCTGGAATGACAGCAGTGCTGCTGCACAGCAGATGACAGCTGTGCATCGGACCTCACTGCGTACCACAGTCTAGGGCTCAGCTGCAGACTAATATCTCATCCTCCACCCTGGCCCACAATGCTGAGCCCAGGCTGAGGGTGGGGCCGTGTAGAGTCCAGGATGGGCAGGACCACATGGCCCCCTCCACTCATGTGGCTCCTTTGGCAGCTTTGGGGCTCAGTGGCTCAGACTGTGGTGCAAGTACAAATGTTGTAGGTGTTGAGGTCCAATATTCCTCTGCAGAGAGACCGTAGGGGGTTATCTTCAATAATCTGTGAAGAAACAAGACTTTACTCATGGAATCCTAAAAAGGCAGCCCATTCCCAAGTGCACTGCTTAGCAAAGACAGCACCTGAGGAACATTTAAATGCATTTTCCTCAGGCTACGTCCTCAGGGAGAGAGCTAAATAATGACACTGGAGATGACAGGGACAGGTAGCATTTTCCGATCTGTAAAAGCATGGCTTGTCCAGGAAAGGTCTCAAGACACACCCTGAAGCTGAATAACTATAAAGGAGGAGCGCGGCCCAGACACCCCAGCTGGAGAGCTTCAGTGGCTCCCGCTCTCCTGTGAAGCAGCGGCGATGCCTGCCATCTCGTTCTTAGGCTCTCCTGGCCCGGCAGCCCTTCCAGCTGAGGTGGAGAGGACGACAGTCCCAGGAGAGCTGGCTGAAGCGTGCCCCACCCCCTGCCGGCATGCCCGCACTGCCTGGCTGATGCTGACACACGGGTAAGGACAGTGGGGACAGACATGGCTGAGCAGGACGCAGTCCTCTCCACACCTTCGCTTAGCCTGCACCTCCCTCCTGTGCCCCCTTTGTGACTCCCCTGCTATTAATCTCCAGCTTGGCTTCTAAGGCTCCAGTCCCCTTCCTCCTGGAAGCCCTCTCAGATTAGGCACTTCCTTTGGGAAATGGAGGCTTGGCCTCTGGAGGGACCCAGAGTCTTCATTACAGAGAGTCATCCCTGGTGCAGAGCTGACTGCCTGCTGAACCTCGTGGCAGGTGAGGACAGAAACCTGCTTGCAGAGTCCCCACAGGCCTGGTGTCACCTTCCAGCGAGGCGCCTTGCTTGCTGACACCAGGCACGTTCTGAGCGTCTGGCCGTCCAAACCCTTGCAAACTCATTTGCAAGCTGCTTTGAGCAGAGGGCAAATCCCCATTTGGCCAGTTTTGCTCTGGTGGGAATTCTCGCCTTCTAACCTGGCAGAGTCTGATTAAAACCAGACTGGCTTGTCACAGTGACCTTCACCCACAACAACTTGGGGACAATCCCAATGTCCACATCACTGTCTTCTCTGTTCTGAAAAGCCTCAGAGGCCACAGCGGGAAGTGATAAAATTCACCCCCTCCACTGCCTCAGCGCACCCCCATACAGTACCTGCAGGTCCTTCCCGAGGTCCCCAGGAGGG